CCACAGGGTCACAGATACAGGGAAGCCGGCCCATTTTCATAATCAAATCTAATTGCCACGCAGTTGAACTCAACAATTGCTAGGGAAATGATTGTGAAGGGGGCCAAAAATATCAGAGTCGGCTGACTCAGCCTCTTCAACTAGGCCAGACTAAATACCAGGCAGCCCATAAGGCCAACAGGCAGAGCCGCAAACAGCGTCAGCTCAGATACTGATGTGCCACCTGCCTTTGGGGTGCACGGGCTCCAAAGGCCCTCAGGCTGAGGGGCGATTACTAGGAGCTCAATGGGAAGTGCACCCCAAAGCCCCCGGAATGCTATTAGTGCAGTATAAGACAATAAACTACGCGGTCAGCTGGGAATAAAACGGAGTGCTTTATAATCTGCTTTCCTGTCTACACAATGTTGGCTAAGCGCTTGTCACGAAATTGTGTTCTCTTTGCAAAGGGTGATGTTTTATTCAAATGTGTGTGTGTGTGCGCGTGCGCGTGCGCGCTTCAGTTGAACATCACTTCAATGTTCTGAGCCAAACGCAGCACTTATTTCCCCGAATAGCCCTGGATTGGGAGATAGGAAATTCTGGAGAGACATCTGTGTTCAGAAACTAATTGTTTGCTGATGTCAAACAGTGGCCCGGGAGCCTCCCAATTGGAAAGGACTTTATCTGTTTGTGCACCGTTGGTGAACACGCGTGCTGTTGCTGGTAGCTCGGTGCTTTCGAAATTTGGCCAAGTGATGTGGAACAGAAAGTAATTTGTTCTTCATGTCCAGAGAAGAGAAAGGGAGCAGAGAAGTGATTATTATGTGAGAAAAGTTGGCTTCCAGTCTTCTAAGCTATTGACAGAAAACAGTCATAGGTAAGGGTGGGGCGTGTGTGTGTGTGTGTGTGTGTGTGTGTGTGTGTGTGTGGTGTTGGCTTATGTGCAAAGCTTGGAATGTTTGCAAAAGTCTGGGGCTTTCTAAGATACAGAATTCCACAAGAGTGCATCAAAGCTTCCTTTGAAACTAGAGATGAAGGGAGGAAAAGATCAATATTATTAACAGGCAACCCTAAGAAACCGAAGAGAACCACCCCATTGGGGTTTCCAAGGCTATAAATCTTTATAAAAGCAGACTGCCTCAGATTTCTCCTGTGGAGCAGATGGTGGGTTTGAACCAATGACCTTCTGGTTAACAGTCACACGTTAAACCACTGTGACACTGGGGTTCCTTTTAAACAAGAGAAGACATACTTAAAGTTTAATAGAGGATAACTAAAATGGACAGCTACATCTGTTTTCTTTAAACAGTGTTCTGGTTGGAGGGGGAAAACCCACAATGTTGGGAAGAAATTGTGTGCTGTGATTAATAACTTAGAAACCTGTGTTTATGGAGAGGGTGAACTAACTTTTCCTCCTTTGGTTTCCGACTACCCAACGGACTCAACATGCCCAGGGTTTTAAAAGGCATGGGTTCTAACGCCTCTCCAGAACGCCAGAACTTTCAGCACGTCTCTCCAATGGAATGTGCTCTCTTGGCCCTGGCATGACAAGTCCCACACTCCTGACAAAGTCCAATAGTACGGACATATCCTCAGTACATGACCCTCCCCTCTCTTCCAGTGCCTGGCACCTTGTCCAGCCTAAGACATGGCCACTCCTTATCTCTCAAAGACACCCGCCCCCGCCCCCTCCCATTTGTCCCCTCCTCTCTACCTGGTTGTGGGCCTGCACTCTCTGCTGTGGTTCTGCCAGAGTCTCATGGCTCTGGGCTCCACCTGCTCCCGGGAGTGTCCACTAGTCTTTGGGGACTTCCCCTCTCTTGATGATAAAACCCTGGTTCCCCATCCTCACCCCCTCATTTCTTTGCCTGTACAAATCCTACTCCCTGCCTCCCGTGCAATGCTTTTCCCAAGTCCTGCCTCAGCAGAATTCATCTTCCTGTCCGCTGCACTACCTTGGCACTTAATTCGTACACCAGTGAAGCATTTATCACATTTTGTTAGAGTTGCTGATGTGTCTGTCTGAGCAACCTCCTTTAGGTCAGGGGTCAGGTCTCGATTCTCTCTCGGTGGCATGCCCCAGCAGAAGGCCTGGCGGACGGAAGGTGGGTCAACAGTCCTTATTAAGTTACATGCCACTTCTTCAGGAATTCCCTGATGAGGAGAGAGGCTCAGAGTGGAGAGCAGAGTAGGCATCTGAGAACTCACCCTCCTCACGCCTCTTCGATGGAAAGGAATTCCCCGGCAGAAAAAGAGTAATACGTGCCGTCGGGGAGCTGTCCTTGACACACCGAAGGTTCCCCAACCCAGTCTGTGCTCTGTCTCCTTCGGTCTGTTCACAAAGTTACCACGGGTAGTGCTTTACAGGTAGGACACGTGGAGGCCATTTCTCAAATGCATGGACAGAATGAAGTAACCCACACACGCGCATGGAGGGGGGTGAAACGTCAGCCTTTAAATTATCCATTGAGGGGTTATGCAAAGAAAAACACACAAATCATAAGGGCACACCTTGATTAATTTTCACGAAGGAAAAACAGTCAGGTGTCCAGGATCCAGATCAAGACAAAGAACATCCCTAGACACCCAGAAGCCTTCTGTCCCAGCCGCTGTCCACCGACCCCCAACCCCCAACAGCAAACGGATCTTTAACAGCACAGATTTGTTTCCGCCTGGTTTGTTTGTTTGTTTGTTTGTTTGTTTGTTTAATACAGTCTTTTCTGTTTGGCTTCCTTCCCTGACCTTCTCACTCACCGACATGGAGTTGATGCCAAGCCGCTGTGACCCTAGATGGCAGAGGAGGTCTATCCACCCCGTTGGTGGGCTCCTGAGGCCACACTCTTTACAGGAGTCGAAAGCCTTGAAACCCAATCAGATCACCATATGTAGCGATATCCCATCCTAAATCTATGACGTCTGAATGTTTTAGATTGGATTACAGCTACAGTTACAAGGTTCTGAACTGTAAGGGATCTAACGCCTTTTCAGTTTTGTCAAGAGTTACTGGAAGTAAAAACTATTTACCGTATGTATTCGTGT